AACGAGCTGCATGACCCAGTGTTTAAGGTGTAGAAGCTGTCGCCAACACAACAACCACACCCTGAGTTGACGAGCTGCATGACCCAGTGTTTAAGGTGTAGAAGCTGTCACCAACACAACAACCACACCCTGAGTTAACGAGCTTCATGACCCAGTGTTTAAGGTGTAGAAGCTGTCACCAACACAACAACCACACCCTGAGTTAACGAGCTGCATGACCCAGTGTTTAAGGTGTAGAAGCTAATACCAACACAACAACCACACCCTGAGTTAACGAGCAGCATGACCCAGTGTTTAAGGTGTAGAAGCTGTCACCAACACAACAACCACACCCCGAGTTAACGAGCTGCATGACCCAGTGTTTAAGGTGTAGAAGCTGTCGCCAACACAACAACCACACCCTGAGTTAACGAGCTGCATGACCCAGTGTTTAAGGTGTAGAAGCTGTCACCAACACAACAACCACACCCCGAGTTAACGAGCTGCATGACCCAGTGTTTAAGGTGTAGAAGCTGTCGTCAACACAACAACCACACGCTGAGTTAACGAGCTGCATGACACAGTGTTTAAGGTGTAGAAGCTGTCGTCAACACAACAACCACACCCTAAGTTAACGAGCTGCATGACCCAGTGTTTAAGTTGTAGAAGCTGTCGCCAACACAACAACCACACCCTGAGTTAACGAGCAGCATGACCCAGTGTTTAAGGTGTAGAAGCTGTCACCAACACAACAACCACACCCCGAGTTAACGAGCTGCATGACCCAGTGTTTAAGGTGTAGAAGCTGTCGCCAACACAACAACCACACCCTGAGTTAACGAGCTGCATGACCCAGTGTTTAAGGTGTAGAAGCTGTCACCAACACAACAACCACACCCCGAGTTAACGAGCTGCATGACCAGTGTTTAAGGTGTAGAAGCTGTCAACACAACAACCACACCCTGAGTTAACGAGCTGCATGACCCAGTGTTTAAGGTGAAGCTGTCGCCATCACAACAACCACACCCTGAGTTAACGAGCTGCATGACCCAGTGTTTAAGGTGTAGAAGCTGTTGCCAACACAACAACCACACCCTGAGTTAATCCAGCTGCATGACCCAGTGTTTAAGGTGTAGAAGCTGTCGCCAACACAACAACCACACCCTGAGTTAACGAGCTGCATGACCCAGTGTTTAAGGTGTAGAAGGTCGCCAACACAACAACCACACTCCTGAGTAAACGAGCTTACATGACCCAGTGTTTAAGGTGGGAGAAATAACACAACAACCACACCCTGAGTTAACGAGCTGCATGACCCAGTGTTTAAGGTGTAGAAGCTGTCGCCAACACAACAACCACACCCTGAGTTAACGAGCTGCATGACCCAGTGTTTAAGGTGTAGAAGCTGTCTCCAACACAACAACCACACCCTGAGTTAACGAGTTGCATGACCCCAGTGTTTAAGGTGTAGGCTGTCGCTGAGTTAACGAGCTGCATGACCCAGTGTTTAAGGTGTAACACAACAACCACACCCTGAGTTGCTGCATGACCCAGTGTTTAAGGTGTAGAAGCTGTCTCCAACACAACAACCACACCCTGAGTTAACGAGTTGCATGACCTACTGTCAAGGAATAGTCCGAGAAGACCGGACAGCTCGCCAACTGCACTGGCTAACCATTACCCCAGAACACGATTAACACCCAGGTCCCCAATTATTGCTGGCTAATTATAACAGAGAGTAACTTTTCTTCTCGTGGTTATTTAAAATGAGGGGGGTTGAGGACTGGAGGTGGGGAGGAAGGCTGGGGGTGGGAGGACTGGAGGTGGAGGAGGAAGGCTGGTGAGGAGGACTGGAGGTGGGGAGGAAGACTGGTGGTGGGGAGGAAGGCTGGTGGTGAGGAGGACTGGAGGTGGGAGGAAGACTGGTGGGGAGGAAGGCTGGTGGTGAGGAGGAAGGCTGTTGGTGGGGAGGAGGCTGTTGGTGGGGAGGAGGAAGGCTGGTGGTGGGGAGGAAGGCTGGTGGTGGGAGGGGGAAGGCTGGTGGTGAGGGAGGACTGGTGGGGGGGAGGGAAGGCTGGTGGTGGGGAGGAAGGCTGGTGGTGGGGGGGAGGAAGGCTGTGGTGGTGGGGAGGAAGGCTGGCTGGTGGTGGTGGTGGGGGAGGGAAGGCTGGTGGTGGGGAGGAAGGCTATGGTGGGGGAGGAAGGCTGGTAAGGTGGTGGTGGGGAGGAAGGCTGGTGGTGGGGCTGGTGGTGGGGAGGAAGGCTGGTGGTGGTGGTGTGGGGAGGAAGGCTGGTGGTGGGGAGGGAAGGCTGGTGGTGGGGAGGAGGAGGTTGGTGGGGAGGAAGGCTGGTGGTGGGGAGGAAGGTTGGTGGTGGGAAGGAAGGTTGGTGGTGGGGAGGAGGAAGGCTGGCTGGGAGGAAGGTGGGAAGGGTGGAGGAGGACTGGTGGTGGGGAGGATGGTTGGTGGTGGGAGAAAGGCTGGTGGTGGGGAGGAAGGCTGGTGGTGGTGGGGGAGGAAGGTTGGTGGTGGGGAGGAAGGCTGGTAGGGAGGAAGATTGGTGGTGGGGAGGAAGGAGGAGAGAAGGCAGGTGGTGGGGGGAGGAAGGCTGGTGGCGAGAGGTGAACATGTCGAGTCGTAGGAAGCCCTAAGACGCTGGTCCTAGAGAGGCATAACTGCAGATAATACATCCCCCACACACCCCCCCTCCCCCCACACCTCCCCCCCACACACCCCCCACCTCCCCACACCTCCCCACACCTCCCCCCCACACACCTCCCCCCACACACCCCCCCACACACCTCCCCCTCACACACACCCCCCCACACACTCCCCCACACTCCCCACACACCTCCCCCCACACACCCCACCCCACACCCCACCCCACACCCTCCCCACACACCCCCCCCCACACCTCCTCCCCCACACCTCCCCACACACCTGCTCCTCACCCCTCCCCACACCTCCCCCACACCTCCCCCACACCCTCCCCACACCTCTCACCCTCCTCCCCACCTACCCCCCACCCTCCCCACACACCTCCACACCTCCTCCTCCCACACCTCTCCCCACACCTCCCCACACCTCCCACCTCCCCACACCTCCCCACACCTCCCCCTCCCCCACACCTCCTGCACTCCGCCAGCTGTGTTAACGTGTTGGTATAAACTCTTCCTTGTATGTGTTCTCTATGGATGGATTTCAGAAGAGCACTTATGGACACAATCAGCGTTTTTCTGCCTCACTCTTCAGGCGGGTTTATACTTTTATGTGAGCCACTTTAGGTCATAACCCGTTTGTGGATATTATTGGACCCGGGCAACTGAGTTTTTCAAATTTACTTGCCTAACCTAACCTAACCTAACCTAACCTAACCTACATATCATTTAGACCTGAAACTATGGAAGCGTTTTGTTTTTTTGTTTTTTACTTGCCCTGACGATTTTTTTTTCGGGAAATTTAATTACCCGGATTTCTTTATGGTAAAAGTACAACAAACAACTTCAAAAATTGTGTAAATGATGTCAGTGACGGCCAACCTTGTTAAGTGACGTCATGACTGCTGTCACCTCATCTCACACCAGCAGGGGAGGGGGGTGGGCCCTGTGACCACCTGCCCCCAACTACCGGTGCCACCTATCATATGGTGTCAGTTGAGCCCTCGAGGTTAGGTTAGGGTGTTAGGTTCAGTACTCACCGTCAGTATCAGGGGTGTCAGGGTCAGGGGTGCGTGAAGATCTAGGAGCTGGGGCACGGCGGGAGGGCGGGGCGGCGTAGGACCTGGTACTGGACGGTGTGGAGCCTCGGGAACAGGGGCGTGAAGACTCCCTGGATGACCCGCCGCTCGCCTGGCCCTGCTGCTGCTGCTGCTGCTGTAAACAAGTGAATCAACACTTTAATAATCAATCTAATAAATCAATCATCTAATCAGTCAGTTGCTAATATAATACAAGCAAGCAAGCAAGCAAGCAAGCAAGCAAGCAATTTAAATGGATATAAGTCAACTAATGACTCTGGTTACTTAGTTTTGTGTGGAGATGAATTTAATGTTTGGGGTTTGATTCTCTCTCTCTCTCTCTCGTAGCCAGAATTAGTCTAGGATACAGACACATCTGGCAAGTTGGTAACGCTGTACCCATACCGGAACACTCAGCATGTAAACTTTGTGATAAACCTTTAAAGCATACACTTGAACACTATATTATTGAATGTGACACTGTCAAAGACTTCAGGCCACCTGGCTTATTGTATTATGAACTTTGTAATAATTACATTGAATCAGGAGTGCTTGAGGACATTCTTGCTGCCTATCCTAAATTTGCTGCTTGTCCACACTGAGTAGTCCTCAAACAGAATATGACTGTCACTGTACATGAACCACTGTCCTGCATGGCAGTGAACAGTGATATCACCCTCATGAATAAATAGTGGTCGTCGCTCGTGTATCGAGGACGGCCGGCCCGAGGGCCGCCAAGGCGTGAATTTGTTTAAGGTGTAGAAGCTGTCGCCAACACAACAACCACACCTTAAACACTGGGTCATGCAGCTCGTTAACTTAGGGTAACCTATACTATTATCCCCTATGTGTATGAACCTCTGTCCTGAGTGGCAGTGAACAGTGACAGCACCCTCAGTGTCAAGACCTGACTGAATTACTCAAAATAAACAAATTGTACTCCAAGCTTTGTCAATAAAGTTCTTAACTCAAAACCTTTCGCTGTTACTCACCCACACTGCTTACGAGAAGTGTCTTATTATATGTTCAAACAATTGTATTATTTGTTTATTTATGAGTATAATTCTAATGGTGTTAATATTGTTGAGTGGAATAAAGTAGAAGTTTGTAAAGACTTTATTACCAATATTACTCACAGTGATTGAATAACATATGTTTGTCTTTATATCTGTGTGTGTGTTTCTTTCTGTCTTTCTCCTCCCCTTTTACCCTTCCTTCCCTTCCTCTTTTATTCTTTCCCCTTCCCATCCTTCCCCTCCCCTCCCTTATCTCTCCCCCTCCCTTCCCTCTACCCCTCCCCTCCCTCCCTTAGTCACGTGTGTTCTCCCTTCACTTAAAAATTCCCCACAAGTATATTTAAACTTTTAGTATGAGAGTGAGTGAGTGAGTGAGTGAGTGAGTGAGTGAGTGAGTCAATGAGTGAGTGAGTGAGTGAGTGAGTCAATGAGTGAGTCAATGAGTGAGTGAGTGAGTGAGTGAGTGAGTGAGTGAGTCAATGAGGTGAGTCAATGAGTGAGTGAGTGAGTGAGTGAGTCAAGTCAATGAGTGAGTGGTGGTGGTGAGTGGTGAGGTGAGTCAATGAGTCAATGGTGGTGAGTGAGTGGTGGTGAGTGAGTGAGTGAGTGGTGGTGGTGAGGTGGTGGTGAGTCTGAGGTGAGGTGAGTCAATGAGTGAGTGAGTGAGTGAGTCAATGGTGTGAGTGAGTCAATGGTGAGTGAGTCAATGGTGAGTGAGTGAGTCCAGTGAGTGGTGGTGGTGAGTCAATGTGAGTGAGTGGTGAGTCAGTGGTGGTGGTGAGTGAGTCAATGAATGTGAGTGAGAGTGGTGGTGTGAGTGAATGAGTGAGTGGTGAGTGAGTGAGTGAGTGAATGAGTGAGTGAGTGAGTCAATGAGTGATGAGTGAGTGGTGAGTGAGTGAGTGAGTGAGTGAGTGAGTGAGTCAATGAGTGAGTGAGTGAGTCAATGAATGAGTGAGTGAGTGAGTCAATGAGTGAGTGAGTGAGTGAGTGAGTGAGTCAATGAGTGAGTGAGTGAGAGAGTGAGTGAGTGAGTCAATGAGTGAGTGAGTCAATGAGTGAGTGAGTCAATGAGTGAGTGAGTCAATGAGTGAGTTAATGAGTGAGTGAGTCAATGAGTGAGCGAGTCAATGAGTTAATGAGTGAGTGAGTCAATGAGTGGGTTAGTCAATGAATGAGTGAGTGAGTGAGTGAGTGAGTGAGTCAATGAGTGGGTGAGTCAATGAGTGGGTTAGTCAATGAATTGAGTGAGTGAGTGAGTGAGTCAGTGAGTGAGTGAGTGAGTGAGTCAATGAGTGGGTTAGTCAATGAATGAGTGAGTGAGTGAGTGAGTGAGTGAGTCAGTGAGTGAGTCAGTGAGTGAGTCAGTGAGTGAGTAGTTTTCTCAAGGAGCTTCTCACTGAATTTCCTCAGCAGTTACACCTTGCAGACTCCCTCTTCCTCCCTCACCCACCCTCCCCCCTCCTCTCTCCTCACCCACCCTCCCCCCTCTCCTCACCACCCTCCCCCTCCTCTCTCCTCCACCCCCACCCTACTCCCCTCTCCTCACCACCCCTGCTCCCCTCCTCTCTCCTCACCCCACCCTCCCCCTCCTCTCTCCTCACCCACCCTACTCCCCTCTCCTCACCCCACCCTCCCACCTCCCCTTCCTCTCTCCTCACCCACCCCCTCCCCCTCTCCTCCACCCCACCCCTCTCCCCCCTCTCCTCACCCACCTGCTCCCCTCCTCTCTCCTCACCCCACCCCTACTCCCCTCTCCTCACCCACCTCCCACCCCTCCCCTTCCTCTCTCCCTCACCCACCCCTACTCCCCCCTCTCTCCACCCACCCTCCCCTCTCCTCTCTCTCCCACCCCACCCCTCCCCCCTCTCCTCACACACTGCCTCCCCTCCTCTCTCCTCACCCACCCCTACTCCCCTCTCCTCCACCCCACCTCCCCCCTCCTCTCCTCCACCCACCCTACTCCCCTCTCCTCACCTACCCTCCCCCTCCTCTCTCCTCATCCACCTTACCCTTCGCCTCTCTCCTCAAGGACGACCTCCTACAATGCACAGGGTAGAGGTTACGCTTCAACACACCACCCAGAGGTCAAGCAAGCAGAGGTCTGATCGCTGACCTGAGGCCTACCATGTGTGTTGGTAACTCTCTCTCTCTCTCTCTCTCTCTCTCTCTGTGCGTGTACATGACCTGTTGTGACGTTGTATGACCTGTTGTGACCCTTTGCGACCTGTTATGACCTCCTGTGACCTGTTGTGAGCTTATTTAACTGTTGTAACGTCCTGTAACCAGTTGTGACCTCCTATGACCGTTTGTGACCTTTGACTGTTGTGACCTCCTGTCACCTGTTGTGACCTCCTATGACCTTTTGTGACCTTTGACTGTTGTGACCTCCTGTCACCTGTTGTGTCCTGTTGTGACCTCCTGTGACCTGTTCTAACCTTATTTGACCGTTGTGACCTGTTCTGACCTGTGACCTTATTTGACTGTTGTGACCTCCCATGACCTGTTGTGACCTCCTGTGACCTATTGCGACCTTATTTGACTGTTGTGACTACCTGTGAACTGTTGTGACCTCCCATGACCTGTTGTGACGTCCTATGACCTGTTGTGACCTTCTATGACCTGTTGTGACATCTTGTTATCTACTATGACCTGTTGTGACGTCCTATGACCTGTTGTGACCCTCTATGACCTATTGTGACATCTTATCTACTATGACCTGTTCTGACCTGTTGTGACCTTCTATGACCTGTTGTGACATGTTGTTACCTACTATGACCTGTTGTGACGTCCTATGACCCGGCGTGATCTGTTGTGACCTGGCTACTGACCTGTTGTGACCTGGCGACTGAGTTGGTGTGACCTGGCAACTGACCTAGTGCGACCTGGTGTGACCTGGCAACTGACCTAGTGTGACCTGGGTACTAAACTGGTGTGACTTGGCTACTGACCTGGCGTGACCTTGCTACTGACCTGGTGTGACCTGGGTACTGACCCGGTGTGACCTGAATACTGACCTGGTGACCTGGCTACTGACCTGGTGTGACCTGGCTACTGACCTGGCGTGACCTGGCTGACCTGGCGTGACCCAGGTGTGACCTGACTACTGACCTGGCGTGACCTGGTGTGACACAGATCGTGACCTGGGCGGCGGGCGGCTACTGACCTGGTGTGACCTGGCTGCTGACCTGGCGTGACCTGGCTATTGACCTGGTAACCTGGATATTGACCTGGTGTGACCTGGGTACTGACCCGGTGTGACCTGAGTACTGACCTGGTATGACCTGGCTACTGACCTGGTGTGACCTGGCTACTGACCTGGTGTGACCTGGCTACTAACCTGGTGTGACCTGGGTACTGACCTGGTGTGACCTGGGTACTAACCTGGGAGGTGAGTTTGTCCATGCTGGTGGTCAGACTCTTGGACTTGGTGACGTGGTTAGCGCGGGTGTGGGCCTCGGGGGACACAAGCGGGTGATGGGGGCCGTGGGTGGGCCCTCGGTCACTCTGCTGGCGAGGGATGCGGATAGTTAACCCACTACCGTCGTGGGTCCGTACTCTGTTGGGGGAGAAAAGTACGGTGTTAGTTGTTGAGTACACGCACACATACACACACACGCGCACACACAGATCCAATTGTAACAGAAAGAATTGAAGAAAAAATGGCGAATCGTAGAGGTTTATCCACTTATGACGTCATTAGCACCCTCACAATCTATTGTCTGGTTGGCTATTGGTTATTACAGACGTCTCAGCCGGCAACCAATCAGATTTTAGGAATTACTTGGTAGCGTAGAGTGATTGGTCAGAGTGGAAAGACAAGAGTACGAAGACCCTTGAGTACGACTTTAACTCTTTAAGTATGATTTAACACTTTGAGTACGATGTTAACCTCTTGAGACGATGACTTATCTGCTTGAGTACAATAATCATCCCGAAGTACGATAACTATTGAGTACGATAATTTAACCATGAGTATGATGATTTAACCCATTCAGTATGATGTTAACCCCTTGAGTACAATGATAAACCCGTGAGTACGATAACTATTGAGTACGATAATTTAACCTTGAGTACGATGATTTAACCCCTTCAGTACGATGACTTAATCCCAGCTGAGAAATACCGCCTGGGGTTAGTCAGGGTAAAATACATAAGGGCTACTTTGTCCACCTCAACCACACCCTGACTACACCACTACACTACCACCACACCCTCACCACACCCCCACACCACCACCACACCCTCACCACACCACCACCACACCCTCACCACACCTCCACCACCTCCACACCCCACCCCACCACACCCTCACCACACCTCCACACCCTCACACCACCACCACACCACCACACCCCCCACCACCCCTCACCACACCACCACACCTCCACACCACACCACCACACCCCCACCACACCCCACACACCACACCTCCACACCCTCACACCACCACCACACCACCACACCATCACACCCCACACCCCACCACCTCCACACCCCACCACACCTCCACACCCCACACCACCACCACACCACCACACCCCACCACACCCCACCCCACCACCACACCTCCACACCACACCACCACACCACACCACACTCACCACACCCTCACACCACCACCACACCCCACACCCCACACACCACCACCACACCACCACACCATTACACCCCACACCCTCACCACACCTCACACACCCTCACCACACCCCCACCACACCTCCACACCCCACACCACCACCACACCACCACACCCACACCACACCCACACACCACACCACCACACCACCACACCACCACCACACCACCACACCCACACCACACACCCCCACCACACCACCACACCCCACACCACCACACCCCCACACCACCACCACACCCCACCACACCACCACACCCACACACCACCACCACACCACCACACTCCACACCACACCACCACACCCCACCACACCACCACACACACCACACCCACACACCACCACCACCCACCACACCTCCACACCACACCACCACACCCCACCACACCCACACACCCCACCACACCACCACACCACCACACCCACACACACACCACCACCCCCACACCACACCACACCACCACCACACCCCACACACCACCACACACCACACCACCACACCACCACACCCCACACCACCACACCCCACACCACCACACCCCACCACACCACCACACCCCACACCACCACCACACCCCACCACCCACACCCACCCACACCACCACACCCCACCACACCACCACACCCTCACCACACCACCACACCCCACACCACCACCACACCACCACACCACACCACACCACCACACCCCACCCACCACCACACCACACACCACCACCACACCCACCACACCCCACACACCACACCACCACACCCCACACACCACCACACACCACACACCACACACCCTCACACACCACCACACCACCACCACCACCACACCCCACACACACACCACACCCCCACACACCACACCACCCACCCACCTCACCACACCCCACACCCTCACCACACCACACCCTCACCACACTCTTGTAAAGGAAACATAATTATGACGAATCGTGGTGGAGAAAATTATAATTGCGAATCTTTGTTGCCAGTGTCAGGTATATATATATGCCTCTCTCTTGTATGTATGTATCCGTCAGTTGCTTACATGTAAAAAGAAAATGAAACACACACACACACACACCTACACACACACACACACACACACACACACACACACACACACACACACACACACACACACACACACACACACCCAAAACAGGGTCTCACTCAACCACCCCCCTCCCCATAATTACACGCCAGTAAGATGCAGTAATAGCAATGCCGCGTCCTGAAGGTGACCGTCTATACCACCACCCTCACCGCCTACGTCAGGAGGGTGTCTTTAAAATGGACCCAACAACACAGAACCCGGGCCCCAAACACGAGTCTTGTATAGAGCCTAAACTAACCCAAGTCTAAGCTAATCCAAGTCTAAGCTAACCCAAGTCTAAGCTAACCCAAGTATAAGCTAACGCAAGCCTAAGCAAACCTAAGCTAACCTTTAACCCCAGGTAACATAAAGGTATTTAATTAACAGGTGAGATAAACTGGGAAGGTTAATCTTCAGGTGAGTCTCTCTCTCTCTCTCTCTCTCTCTCTCTCTCTCTCTCTCTCTCCTCTGGTGAGAACCTCCATCTCTCAGCTGGTGAAGGACCCCCCCCACCGTCTCCACCTGGCAGCTGGTTCTGGTACAAGGAGCTTCCACCTTTAACCAGGTCTTTCATTGTGGGTGGGTGGCTGGGTGGGTTGGGTGGCTGAGTGGGTGACAGGATGGGTGGGTATTGGGTGGCTGGCCTGATGGGTGGGCACTGGGTGGGTGTTGTATCACTGGGTGGGTGGCAGGATGGGTGATTGCTTGGTGGTAGGTTGGCATGGGTGGCTAGCAGGATGGGTGGGTGGGTGGCAGGATGGGTGGCTACTGGGTGGGTCAGGAGGAAACATAATCTGTGTGCGGGAATAAAGGTGTGTGTGTGTGTGTGTCTGTGTGTGTGTGTGTGTGTGTGTGTGTGTGTGTGTGTGTAACGATAATTGGTGCGCCACACTTACACACCAACACATACATAAATCGACACATTCACATAAATCTACACTTACACTTGAAACACACTTACATCTACACGAACACACTTACAGAAACACACTTACATCTACACGAACACACTTACACACTTACACACTCCAACACTTGTTACACTCAATGAACGAGTTGACGGGTCTGAACAAACAAGAAATACACTCTGCCACGTTCGTATAGTGATATATAATGTGTAATAAAAGTTTAAAATCCTGCTATAATAGTCAAGATAAGTTTATTTCTCTAGAAACAGGGCCGCCATATGCAATGACGTCACTAGTTTCCCAACAGACGACGTTCTCCAACAAACTCTTCACTGCAGTAGTACAAGGACGGCCTCTTCAGACCCCAACTGCTACATTCAAGCAAGTTTGGGGTGATTTTATGGTCTAAGTCATGGACGTTTCGTAAGTGAAGAATTTGTAAAGAGCAGCTTATGGACATAACAAACTCAGCTGGTAGACTTTCTCTGTTTTTTTTCCAGTTCATTTACAGAGTATATCAGTACTAGACGGAGATATGAGTCAATTTAGAAGTAATGACATTGTCTGGACTTTGTTTTGAGAATGCCTGATGCTAGTTAACATGACAATATAGTGCTGTTATTGTTTTGATGATTCACTAATGAACCACTGGGAGATATCATTGTTTATATTAATTAATGGGGGTAAATGTTACGTTAACTACCATAAGGACTTTAATGTTTATACTCGAGATAGGCTACAGGGGTAAATGTTAAGTTTTGGTCATCTCTGTACTGGGACATACAGACGATGTTTCTCTCTGGTGGTTTACCGACGTATGTTAAGCTTATAACTTATAATATAACTCATCATACCTTAACCTAACCTAACCTGACCTAACCTGACCTAACCTGACCTAACCTAACCTAACCTGACCTAACTGACCTAACCTGACCTACCAAACCAAACCTAACCTAACCTGACCTAACCTGACCTAACCAAACCTAACCTATCCAACCTGACCCTGACCAAACCTAACATAACCTGACCTGACCTGACCTAACCAAACCTAATCCAACCACCACGCCATGCAGACAACGTTCATGGCGTGGTTAAATGTCGCAACAGGGAGTGGGCGTGTGGTTTAAGAAGGCGTGGCGTGTGTGGTTTAAGAAGGCGTGGGCGTGTGTGGTTTAAGAAGGCATGGGCGTGTGGTTTAAGAAGGCGTGGGCGTGTGTGGTTTAAGGCGTGTGGTTTGGTTTTACGGGCGTGTGTGGTTTAAGAAGGCATGGACGTGTGTGGTTTGAGGCATGGGCGTGTGTGGTTTAAGGTCATGTGGGGCGTGTGGTTTAAGAAGGCGTGGGCGTGTGTAATAATGGCGCGTGTGTGTGGTTTAAGAAGGCGTGTGTGTGGTTTGATGCGTGGGCGTGTGTGGTTTAAGAAAGCACGTGTGGTTTACACGCATGGGTGGTTTAATATGTATGGTTTTAAGAATAAGGGCGTGTGGTTTAATAATACGTGGGCGTGTGGGTTAGTTGCATGTGTGTGGGCGGTGTGGTTTAAAAATGGGCGTGTGTAGTTTAAAGCCGGGCGTGTGTGGTTTAAGACGGGCGTGTGTGTTTTAAGAAGGCGTGGGCGTGTGGTTTGGCGTGGGCGTGTGGTTTCAAGGCGTGCGTGTGTGGTTTAAGAAAGCGTGGTGTGTGTAGTTTGCTTGCGGTGGTTTTAAGACGGGCGGTGTGTGCTTTAAGAAGGCGGGCGGTGTGGTTTAAGAAAGCGGGCGTGTGTGGTTTACTGGGCGTGTGTGGTTTAATATGGGCGTGTGTGGTTTAAAAGCTGTGGGCGTGTGTGGTTTAAAAAGCGTGGGCGTGTAGTTAAGAAGGCTTGGGCGTGTGTGGTTTAAGGCGTGGGCGTGGTTTAAGAGCGTGGGCGTGTGTGGTTTAGAAAGCGTGGGCGTGTGTAGTTTAGAGGCGTGGGCGT